CCCCAAAACCCCAAAACCCCAAAACCCCACTTCCAGAATATATTCTCTTGATTTATGAATTAAGAATTAATTAAATTCCAATTCACATGCCTAAGTCACTTTTGCCCATAAATTAGTCTTCTGTTTTGTGATCTGCTAAGTTGGCTCTTACTTCATACACAGTCTCCACTACTTTTACTTTTTCTCTTAGTTTCTCTCCTTTCAACCCTATATACTTCACAACTGTGTTCTTTGCCCCAAAATTCTCATCAAAACCAATAACTATATTGCTAGTATTGTTAAACTGTGAAACATTAAGCAGGTATTCAAGTTCTCCTGTCATATTTTCATTCATATCAATGATCTGAAGTGGTTTCTTTTCCTCCATTATGTTGATATCAACAGTACTAACGTTTTTATATAACTTCATTTTGCTTGGAGCAGTTCCTTCATCCCCTCCTATCACTATAATAGCTTTTACTTTGATTTCTCCATTGAAAGGAATGTAAATAACCAAGTCTTTTCCATACCCACTCTAGCAGACTCCCTATGAAAAATTCATTTTCTCATCCAAAGGTCTTAAAATTTTCCTGATAGAGCTATTATCTTTTTAATTGAAGCAGTCAACCTGAGGTAAATCAATATGAGGGTATAAATCATAACCATGAGGATCTTATTTTTTAAATTCCTCAGCACATCCACATCCTTAATAATGCTAGTGATTACTTTCCATTGATATATTAAATTGATTAAAAATGTTTATAATTAATTTTAAAATGAGCGAAAACCATAGCCCTATAGTAATGAGTCCAAAATCTTCTAATATAAATGAGAATGTCGATATGAATGACGAGTCATAGGATGTAGCTGATGATTAATCACAATAGCAATAAGAGTTCACCTAGTAAAATCAGCAAATTGAAGAGGAGAAAAAGGAATTTAATAGAGTTGAACCAGATAATTCCGATCAGAATTAACAATAGTAAATTTCTGTTGCAGATAAATTAAGAGAACTGGGTTACATTATTTTGAAGGATGAGACTGATGAATATGGCAAACTTAGATAAGATAAAGATAATACAAAAGGATTAGAGTGGCAAGGGCAGAAAAATTATGACGAAATTGGAGATTTAGTAACAGATTACGTTTAAAATGAAATGAAAACTACATATGGACTTAAAGAAGTCTGGATTCCAGAAAATGAGGATTTAGAACCTGATTATCATCATTTGCCTAAAAGTAATATTTATATGAGTCCAGATTTCCTTGATACCCAACAAGATATTGAGAAGGATGCATTAATTCTAATTTAAGGAACAGGAGCAGTAAGAGCTGGGTAAAATAATTAAAAGTTAATTAAAATAGTGTTTGGGCTAGATCTGTCTGCTTGAATGAAAGTCTTAAAACAGGATCCATGCTATAAATGATAAAAACTGCTTAGCACAATAAAATGTCAGTGTTGGTTATGAATCCTAATCTTAGATCTTAACCTGGCTAAAATGTAAATGATTTATTCATTCAAAGTTAATATATAGGGTGTTATCCCATATTGTCACTCAATGGAATCTCATAGTCTATATGTATGGGAGAGGTACGTTATTCCATCTAGATTTAGAAAGTTCTAAGTTATTGCACATTCAGCTGGAGGGGGCTGTCTCGCAGCTATCTAAAGAAAATTTAGTAAGATTAAGAAATAGAATTAACATGTATTAATAGGTGATATGTTCTATGATAGATGTTCTAGAGTAGCATTAACTGATTCATGGGTGATAAATAGAGAGCAGTTAAATAAGGATTAAATGAAATGGATGTAGGAGAATGCAGTTCATTTTTTAGCTAGCACTTAACCTTTAGGCGAAGAAATCAGTAAATTTACAAGATCTTCTGTATGCTAAGAGAAATCAGCTGGACATCAGAAACATGAATATACTACTGGATATGCCTATGAAGAATTAGTAAAGCATTTTGGATTGCAAAGAGTCGACTGATGAATTTAACTTAAAGTCATTATTAGAAAATAAATTAAATCAATATACCTTTTTGTAAAAGTTGATTATCTTATTCAGCTTCTTTCCATCTCTTGTGGGGTTTTGGGGTTTTGGGGTTTTGGGGTTTTGGGG